AAAATTTACCGAAAAATCTTTCTTGAAGTTTTTACTTTAGTATTAATTCCAAGCGAATAGATTAAATTTAATCTTTCCAATAAGTAAATTACTTTGCAGACTTTGCTGGATTTCAAACCAAATTTAAAATTGATTGAAATTATTTCTTAATCGCTAAAATTGGCCATATTGATGAATCTGTCAACAGAGCATAATTCTCTTTATTAAAAAAAAACTTTCAAAAATAAAATGCACTTTTCCGAAACTTCATTTGAGGAAGATTAACTGATTTAAAACTGAATTAAAACAAATATTACTTTTAGTTAAAAATATCGCAGAAAAGTAGTTTTTAATACGGAGTTTGGTGGGGTGTTGACAGATTTATCGATAGCTTAATGTTATACATTTTTAAGTAAAGGGGACCTAACTTTAAAAATTACTTCACGAATGGAATGGGAACGCCATTTATTTTTTTTTAACTAACCAGAAATTTTTAAATTTTAGGAAAATATTTGAAGTAATTTTATTGAATTTTAGGTACTTTGGATTTATAGTTTTACTTATGAAGACATTTGTTGAGGAAATGTTAGAAAATTACCAATAAATTTTAAATTTACTATAGTTATCACTTATTTTCAGATAATGTCCTCTATGGACGTCCGTATTTCCGAAAATCGGAACGTTTGTGTATAAACGTATAAAATAATGCTTTATTTTTACTGCATTTTTTATGTGTTCTACAATTTACATTATTCGGACAATTGTCCTCATTTTTGTCGCCATATTTATTACAACGTTTCGGCTTTCTTCAGGTGGTTGGAATGTCGAACTGAACCCTTTATTTCGCTCACTGAGGTAGACTGTTCTAGTTCCATGTGCCATGTTTAATTAATATATGTCAGTTATCTGTTAATTTCTCTTTGAAAGTTCTCCACTGGGTATTGAACTCTTTTGGGTCTTGTCACTGGATCTAACTAAAGCTTTTATCCACTGTGCCATGTTTCCTTGAGAACATCTGTGTATGAATTTCTGGGTATTATAAACCTAATGTCTTCAGCAATCATTTTTTTTATTGCAATTTTTGCTGTTATCATTGCATGTTTTACCAGAGCTCATATTGCAATTTTTGTTGTTATTATCGCTTTTCTCTGGCACTCCTTATTACTGGTTCCCATATTGTATTCATTTTTATGCTTGGTCGGCTCAGGAGATTTTTGTGGTCTAGCATATGTGCTGATTCTTTCTTTAAGTTTACAAATTTTCCAATGGTGTTCTTTGTCTATGATCTCAACCTGATCCCACAGAAGGCAGTGATCTCCCTTTTCTCTCCATATGTTGTCAGCCACGCCTGATTTTTCCACTTCCCCTCGTGTTACAGCTTTCTGGTGTTCTTGAAGCCTTGTAATAAATATGGCGACAAAGAATAGTCCGAATAGTGTAAATAGTTTACATTTTTTTGTTGTTTAAAAATTATTAAATTATTCTCTCGCTATTACTAATTGTTTTAGTTTTCATAACTTGTTTCTTTCTAAATGTTACTGAATTTAATCCCCCGCGTCTTAAGTTTTCTATTGAGAAGTTTGTTGAATATAAAGTGGCCAGTGAAAAAATGTCTGGACAAAGTCGTGGAGTAATTCCTTTCGATGTAAACGGTCAGACTAGCACTTCCCCTCCCTCTGTCTTGGGTTTAAATGTGGGGAACTTCTCTTTCTCTTTCTCTTCCCTTTCGTTTTATTTGATTGCTGCTACTATTTTATTTTATTTTCCGTTTTTCATTTTTTCTTTTTAAGTGAAGCGAATTTAATGCCCCCCCCCACCATTTTATTAGCATTTTAGTAAGGGGCAATGGGCCTTAAAACTTAAAACCTAATTACAAAAAGCAATTTTTTTTTATTGAATATGTTTCCTTTTTTTTTACTATTTCAAGATATTTTTGTGTAACTTTGGTAAATATATCTGCAAATATAATGCAAATAACACTGACATCTCATTCAACATAAGTCAGTGTTATTTGCATTTATGCGTAAATTAGGTGACATTTTATCCATATATATATATATATATATATATATATATATATATATATATATATATATATGATAAGTGTGAAATAACGGAAAATGGAATGGATGAATACCAGTTGAATTTGTTAATTCTTTTTTTTAATCAATTTCTTCCAAGCAAGGCGATAATGTTACTAAGAGGCCAGGGGGTTACTGGGAGTGAAAGAGAATGAAAAGACTCTCTAGAAGAAACCGGAAACCCAATCGTAAACAGGAAACAAGGAATAAACCTCTACTCTTGTTCAAGGGACCGGGGAGGAGTGTGAACCGGGTGATAGGTGAACCTGTCTATTCCTATTTGAAGTGTTGACGTTTCGGTAACGACTTTTTACAAGTTTTTATTTGTGTATGAAAATGTTCATGTATTCAACTGGTTTTCATATATATATGGTGCGCTGAAGAAATGTAACATTCCTTGTGAGCACTGGGAACAATGTACATGTGGCCGCAATAATTGGAAGGAGGCTGCTGGTAGTGGAAAGCGTCGTCACTTTGAGAAAAGGAGGCGCGCTAAAGCTTAAAAGAGATGTTCGTTGAATTTCCTGCAGTCACCCGAGGGCAGCTCGATCTGATGTGTACAGATTGTGATAGAGTGCGTTTGTCGATGGCTGGTCTAAGGAGTCACTTGAGAACGCACTGACGGAAAGTGGCAATTAACTATAAAACCGTAGACATCCAGTAATTGGAATGTGATATTAGCGGGTCCAGAAACGGTCGCGTGCAACATTTCAAATTGCATGATAATGTACCACCTGCTGTTGGACCTCTTAAGTGCCCTAAGTATGTAGGTCACTTGCAAATCAGAAGATCTTCAAATAAATATGTAGCAATGGCCATACTCGGACAAGAGTTGGAAACCACTATATATATATATATATATATATATATTATTGTTACGCCCGGGGTTTCGTTGGGACTACGATAGCCGGGACGCAACGAGAAAATAAAAAAAATAAGTAAGAGATCCCAAGGTTCGATATAAAAATAAAGAAAAGAACGTTGGGAGGGGAATTCTCCAATTCCGGACGTCGGTAAACACAGAGAGAAAATGAACAATTCGCAGACACAGAACAACAGAAGACAACACGAGAATATATAATACAAAGATTTTATTTCTAGAATACACGGAGTGTGAATGTAAGAAAAAGAAAACTAAATAATACAAGGGATGGGGAGATAAGTTACCAATTAAACAGATACTAATGCAGCGAAATACATATGAATACAGAGATAGCAGATTATAAGATATGGAAAAACATGCAGAAACTTACATAAGGTTGGAATCGATGTCGATTGACTATTATCTGGGTACAGTTTGTTCAAAGGATATTCATACACTTCTCTGAAAGTAATGGATGGGATTGACAATGTTCTAGCATGAATTTTTGACTGGCGGCGTCCGATCTGTGTTGATGGCGAGGAGAACACACAGAAAAATCACGGGAGTGTAGCCGACTTGGGTTGAGGATGTTGTTCTGGATTCTTGCGTCGGACCTTTGGTTTTTGGTGGCATCTAATTCTTCTGGCATCAAACAACGAAGTCTGGTTTTGGTGACAACTGCTTCTTCTAATGTTGACGTCCGACTGTTCCGATAGCCAGCAACTATGTGAGATCGTTGTTACCTCAACACGTGCGAAACGAAAACTGCTATATGTTGAGTCACGTGTTGACCCCCCCAAGGTATGCGTCATTCACGGACCCTGTTAATGTCATTCGCACTTATCTGTCAAACAGCGTTCATTTTGGTCTACGACTATGGACCTGGTTAATATCATTCGCACCTATCTGTCAAACAGCGTTTGTTTGGCCTACGCATCAGAGACCAGGTAGGAAATGGGGGGGGTGTCAGGTTCTTTTCCGAGAACTGGCCCTGACTCATCTGGCTATAAAAAAATATATCCCACAATCTGCATATTCAAGAAATAAAGAAGTTATTAAGATTCATATGTTTCGTCGCAAATACACAAGGTACTGAAAATATACTTATAAAATCTGAGGTGAGGGTACAAATATGGGGTTAACATAACAATATATATATATATATATATATATATATATATATATATATATATATATATATATATAGGTTGCAGGTGGGACAGATTGAGAGAATAGAAAATTCCAGAGCAGATAACATTAGAAAGATTTTAGAGTTTCACGAAAGTAAGTCCATACAACGTTTAAAAACGCACTATCCAATCGGGCTTAACCATAAATTTAATAACATAGATAGTATTAATATATAACCCCACAAATCAGGACCTACCCACATTTCTCACCCACACAAGACAGATATGCTTACGGAGGTGTTGAGGCCTCACACTTATACACACACCCACACGAATATACACACTTACACACATCATACTCACTCATTAATGAGCCAAATGATAACACACACCCATAGTAATATACACGCTTACACACATCATATTCACTCACTCCCTAAGAACCAAATAACACACACACAGTTAACAGAGACACATCCCCTTTCCAGGAACCAATAAAAGTGTCAAAATGACTAAGGGAATTCAGAGCAGTATGAATCCATCCAGCTCTTATCTCAAATAACAACTTAAAAGAGACTGTTTGACCAACACAAGGACTAACCAAAATTCATGTTAAAAAAATAAAAAAAACAAATGAAAACTACAGACAAAAGTTCATTTTCTCCATCAAGACATTCATTTCTGTAGTTCACTGCTACCAGCAAGCAGAAAATATTTTTCTCCAGATGATGGCCGAATCTAGTGGAGGAATCTAAATAAAATAATAATAAAAACGAAAGAATATTAATATACAACCCAGAGTGTCTGAATATTTTATTTTTTAATATTTTTATTATATATATATATATATATATATATATATATATATATATATATATATATATATATATATATATATGTCTTTCTCTGTCCCGTCTGCAACCTTTTCTTTTTGCGCGCGCCATTCACCTGTTCTCCTCGTCTTGATTCTTTTTCAATTGCTGGGTTCTTCTGTCGATTTGCTTCAGTGCCATTTAGCAAAGCTCGCCGGCTATTGCCGATATTGCTTTCGGTCCTGTTTTGATTGATTACCCGAGAGATGCTTGATTCCTCGACAGATATTTGGGAAGCAGTCACCAAATCATCATCTGAACCCCCTTCCCCCGGCACCGCTACCCTCAGCAGCACCGGTGGAGAGAGAATCCCAGCTGGCATGTTATTTTTTTTTTCTCTCTCTCTCTTTCGTTGCCAGAAATGTATCAGTTATTACACAGCTGGGTCATTTTGCAAATAGAGCGAGGGAGGGAGGGAGGGGAGGGAGGGAGGGAGGTAGGGAGGAGACTATGTGTATAAGGACACACACAAACACACACACACATTTTCTGTTCTCTTTATGTATATTAGGCTGAGTCTTAAATAATTTCCGTTTTGGTTTACCAAATTTATTCATAAAAATAACTACAATTACTTTTTAAAAATTTTATTCAATTATATATTCTCTATTATTTTGAATAACTTATCGTTCCAGCCTAATAAGTCAATATCATTTAAGTAAATTTCTAGTTTTGGTTTGGAAAAGTTTCCGACTAAATCTTGAAAAGAATTTTCATTCGCAAATAATTCTTTAAAAGTATTGGGTTACCTAAAAGAATTCGTTATGTTTATTAAGCGAATGTTCTTAGCGAACGGATATTTGGCTAATCCAATATGTACAAAGTTCAAACAAGAAAGAACTATATTTTGAAGAGACGTCTAAGATTTCCCTAACATTGTTGAAAATTCCGGCTGTCATATTTGCCAACAGAAATGTGAATTGAAATTCTAATGATTGTTATAATATTATTTCTTAGTAGATGAATTTTAGGGATGTCTTACTAGATAAGTTTCAGGGATTCCTTAGTAGATGAGTTTTAGTGATATCTTATTAGATAGGTTTCAGGGATTTCTCAGTATATAAGTTCTAGGGATTTGTTAGTAGATTAATTTTAGAGATTTCTTAGTAATTGAGTTTTAGATATTTCTTAGCAGATAAGTTTGTCACAGGCTACCCCGACGTGGTGTAATGGTTAATAAACTTGCTAGATAATTTACGACTGAATAGCGAGTTCGATCCTCACCGGGTGCTTCTTACTTTAGATCTTGTACCCAGTAGCTGACCTACATCTTTTGGGTGATGAATTTATTAAAATTGTAGCTCCCGTCGCAACCATCAACAAGAGATTCGAGTATCCAACTGCCAAAATGTAGTCTATGATCAGATTGTGACGAGCTTAACCAGTTCATACAGCTGAGGGTTCGGGCGCTGCAAGTACCCAAGTAAAAGTAGAAATTTGACCAATGACGGGGGGGGGGATTTTGAGGCCATATAAAATGGGTATTAGAACAATATTCTAAGGCCAACATTAGATGAAGCAGGCCTACATTTTGGGGGCCCTGAAGTTTGAACAGTGTTTGAGGGGGGGGGGCTCCTTCGCAACCAGCAACAATAGATTTAAGAATCCAGCTCCCAAAACGTAGGCGAGCTTGACGAATCCATAGAGTGTTCGAACGCTGCAAGCCTCCATGAAAATTTTGAAATTTGATCAACTACAGAGGAATTTTGATGACATGAAATTAGTATTAGAGCTTATTCTAAAGCCAGCTAGTTCAACACATTGGTTTATGATTCTATCACTAAAATGACCTTATTTTAATAACGAACAATTAAAAAAAACATTGATTTTGACGAAAACTGCGCTCATTAAAAAACGATGTTTCAGGGATTAGGGGCCTAAAGTTTAAGCTTTATTAATTTCATACTAAATATTAGTTTCATACGAGATCCGCCATATTAGTTTCATACTAGATCCGCCATATTAGTTTCATACTAGATCCGCCATATTAGTTTCCTAATAGATCCGTCACTGTTTGTGCCACATGTAAACTACGCTTACTAAATCGGAATAAGTTTGTTCCATGCTGCAATATTTTATCTCAGTTTACATACGAATATGAGAATTAGAAATATTTAGCCTTTACTTGCTCTTCTCTCGTATTTCTGTTGGGCAAAGTTGGCATCTGGCAATTCGATGCTAACTAATACTCTGAGAACTTTGGAATAAATATATTTAAAATATTTTTGGGACATCCTGCTTCGTAGGTGTTTTCACAAACTTTTATGAAATCGATACCCGGAACCGAAAATTCATTTAAATCGCATTTTGAAGTTAATTTCATTTTCATAAACTTTATACGATTACAAACAGAACAATTGGAGATTATTGGGATATGAGAATTATATCGTCTATTTTAGAGATATTTCGGCTTTAAAAATAGTTTTTATCATGAAAAAATAAACAGGAAACATTAAAATGATTGCGATGTATATACTCTTGGTAGATTCCCTTCAGTAAAATATTCGTGAGAATATTTAAATTGCAACTTATTTATATCTTTAAATTATTCTCTCTTATTCATCTGTAAATAAACACTGTAACAACTCATGTCGAAGTTAAACACAAAACAAAAAATTCGTTTTAACGATGTATGTATGTGAAAGTAAATTTTCTTTTTGTTGTGTCAATAATGTGTGTCATTAAAGTAAAGGTGATACAAAATTAGCGAAAATGAGAAGAGATGATAGTGAAAAACCTTTCCGAATTTTTTGCAAAGTCGAATTGCATGCAGACATTAAAAAAATAAACAAAAACGCCTACATTTTAATCATGGGAACTCTTCCCAGCTTTCCCTGATTTTGTCATTTTTGTCTCAAGACTTTTTTTTCATGCTTTCTTTTTCAACGTTTACCTTTTTTTATCAAAACAAAATTCCAGTGTTATGTTGATTCATACACGAAGATAGTTGGCGGCTGAGAAGTTAGTCGCGTGGCCGGCCATAAAAAGACAATACGCTTATAATGATTAACTGAAGCTCGGTGCATAGGGTTCCATTCCCCGGGCAGTAACTCCCCATTGCAATAAGAGCACGACCTGACGTCTGTAGCTTTAAACGAGGCAACCTATTTTGTATGGTACTGGTACAAAACGATCTCGTCACTTTCATTTTTTCACTATTTCTCTCTACACACACATATACACATATAAACACACAGAATCCTACGCGCATGTAGGTGTGTCCCTTTTGTAACCACAGTTGAATAAACACATTGGTTTGGAAAATCTTGCAAAAATCAAGTACTTGTTGGACTTTAATGAAACCTTAAGAACTTATTCACAAATGAGTGAAATTATTTTAGCAATGTTTGTCTTTTTGAAAGTCATGGTATAAATATTTTTTTTTATATATGTTACAGCCCTCGAACTTAATTTTATGAAAACTTCAAAAATTTATTTTTGCAACCTGAATTTTTTTTTATTAAATGCACAAGACTGAAGATTCTAAATCATCGATTTTTTTGGTAAAAAAATGCGCAAAATTGTCCAAACTTTTACCTCAATTGTAAAAATACAAAACTCAATAAAACTAAGACAATATTTAATAAAAAAAGCTTTTTATGACTTTTCTGAATAACATATACTAAGGTAATTTTTGTCTGAAAGAAAAAAAAAATTTTGATGAAAAATGAATTTTTATAATAATTTTTTTCTTTTTTTCTATTTTAAATACACAATGACAAAATGTTATATATTTTAAAATTAAGTTTCTTTATGCGACCTTATGGAAATGACATGTTCTCTACTTTTTAAAGATCATAAATTTGAAAGCTTATTAAAATCTGACAACCGTTGATATTTTTAAAATATTTTTTTAATATTCCAAAATTGTATTTAAAATTGTATTTAAAATCGTCTCCAACGAAAGTATGGATGCACAGCTTGAAATAATGTCACATGAGGTAGACTTGTTTCTCTTGATAGAAGCAAGTTCTTTTTACTTCAGAAATTGCTTTGCACTCGTTCAGTTAACAACACAGCAAAGTTTGAAGTCGATTGTATAGCAATGCATCAATGTTAATTTTATTAATAAATAAAATATGTACAAAACTCCCATGACTGCCATATCACAAGTATTAATAAATAGAAAAAAAGTCTGCCTTAATAAAAAAAAATAAAATCTCATTTCATTAAGTTAACCTGTTTCAATTATGAAATTTAATGTTTCATGTAATTTTTATATTCTCAGAAAAATAGTTCATGACAAATAATACAACTCAATTTATTTAAAAAAAATGTTGTTACTGTTTTATTTTTACTTGTAAAATTTGATTTTTTTTCATAATTTAAATGTTATTTTCAGCGCAGAAATTTTTTCTCAAACGTAAGGTTAAAAAAAAAAATTTGAAAGTGAATTTTTAAAAAAAAAATTACTAACCAGGTTCACTTAAAATTAGAACGAATTACATCACTTCTGCGCGACAGTACGATAAATTCCCTTGACGTAAGTTGTCAATATATTGATGTACATCAATTAACACTCCTCAAACACGCACCAAAGCAAGCACCACGGTTGGAAATATCTCTATTAAAAAATTTTCTGCTAAAAAAGTAAATAATGTTTCTTTCAAATTACATTTAGTATACTTTAATCATTCTAAATTTCCTAAGATAACAAAAAAAAAAAAAAAAGATGTGACTGAATTTTAATTGATTTTTTATTTAACTAATTTTGATTTTTGTTTACAAACTCCGGCAGAAATGGCCGATAAGATCGAATTTATGAAATTTTTTTTGATTCGAGAAAAACAAGATTTTTAAATAAAATTTTTAAAATTTATAGGAAAGATCTGAAAAAATATTCAGAAAATACTTTGGTCTTCCCTCTTTAATACTAACATAAACATTTAAGCGTTAAATTTTTTTTATCAATTTGGGGACCTTTTTCTCCAGGGTATACCACTTTTTTTAGCGTTAAGTGGGACAGACCTATATATATATATATATGCATACACACACACACACACACACACACACACACACACACACACACACACACACACACCTATATATAAATATATAGAAGTGAACATAGAAGTCAACACTTAGAGGTTACAGTATGTTTCATGCTTGATGCAATCCTCAGGCCACAGACTTCTATGGTCACTTTTATATTTACACACGCTCTATCTCTGATATTGAGCACTTTATCCCATAAAAATAGCACATCTTAAGACTATATTTCTTCATGTGTATATATATATATATATATATATATATATATATATATATATACAGAAGGAGCGATGGGTAAATTGTTCTTTTTTATTTTGCGTATACGCC